GGGGGACAGAGTGAGACTCTATCTCAAAAAAAAAAAAAAGAATGTATAGCTCCCACTTTTCTCACAGCCCAGCTGACAACACGGGCCACTGTCTCAAACAGAAGGCAGTGGATATAACAAACAGTCTCTGGACAAGTCCTAAGTCCAGGCTCCTCGGGGACTTCTCTTCCTCACAATGAAAACATTAGAGAAGCATAACTACAGCAAAGATGTCAGGCAGGTATTCAAAACCCGAGAGTGGGCACCCTGGAAAATGGGATTCAGGGTCTGGGGAAAGACTTGGATGTTTACTTTGATTACTTCGGATTTTTACAGTGAGCAGGTACTGGTTTGGAAGCTTTCAGACACTGGGGTGGGTTTTTAAGGCCCTACTGACCCCTGGGCACAGGCACTGGGTGGCACCAATGCTCCTACTGACAGAGAGGTTGGGTGTTTGTCCCAGCAACACATTAACCTGCCAGTGGCCACACTCCCATCCTAACAGGGTGGCTCCAACTCCCTGGAGGTGCTGAGGCACACAGGAGTCTCACAGGTAGCAGCGGCCCCTTTTTATTCATTTGTCCCCATGAGGCTGGGGCCATGAGGGGACCCCCACCTGTACCCACCCCATACACAGACACCAACCTCCGGAGATGAATGTGTCAAAGATGATCTGGGCACCATTGAAGAAATCGCCAAACTGTGCCTCCCACAGGGGCAGTAACTGTGGACTCTCAATGCTCATCCCATATTCGAATCCCAGGACGGCCTCTTCTGACAGGGGGCTGTTGCTGACCTAATCCCAGGGAAGAGAAGGAAACGATGGCATGTGAGGGCAACGGCAGGGCACTGCGCTCCTGGGGACTTATCAAAGGAAGGTGGTGCAGAGAGGGAGCTTGATTTCACTCATCACCACATTCTTTGCTTTTGTGTTTTGGGATAGAGTTTCACTCTTGTTGCTCAGGCTGCAGTGCAGTGGCTCGATCTCAGCTTACCACAACCTCCACCTCCTCCCGAGTAGCTGGGATTACAGCCTCCCACCACCATGCCCAGCTAATTTTTGTATTTTTAATAGAGACAGGGTTTCTCCATGTTGACCAGGCTGGTCTCGAACTCCTGACCTCAGGTGATCCACCAGCCTTGGCCTCACAAAGTACTGGGATTGCAGGTGTGAGCCACTGTGCCTGGCTCATCACCAGATTCTTTTGAGAAGAGATTTGCTGCTGAGTGTCAGTGATGCAGACGAGAAAAGTTGGGACAAAGAGAGGAAAAGAGGCTGGAGTATGAGCATTGCAGAGTTTCTTCGAGGATAAGCACATATACTTCTCAGCTAACCCTCCTCTGGAGCTAAGCGTACAACTGTGTCCTACAAGCTTTTCAAACACCTGTGGCCGGGCATCGTGGCCTTCCAACAATCTGGGAGGCTGAGATCAGAGAATCACCTGAGTACAGGAGTTTGACACCAACCTGTGCAGCACAGCAAGACCCAATGGTAATTTTGGTGATTTTGTGTTTCTCTAAAAAAGCAGACAAAAATCAGATGGGTGTGGTGGCACATGCGTGTGGTCCCAACTACTTGGGAGGCTGAGGTGGGAGTATCACTTGGGCCCAGGAGGTTGAAGCTGCAGTGAGCTGTAATCACAACACTGCACTCCAGCCTGTGTGACAGAGTGAATCCCACAGGGAAAAAAAATTGTCGTGAAACAAAGTGAGGAAAGTTAAAAAATAAAGCCCTACCTTTGGTTAAAATCAGTACTCTAACATTGTATTGGCATGGTAAATCAAAAGGATATGTTAAGATTTTAAAAAGCAGAATACAAAATTATATCTCTGAGAAGATTAAAAAGACATGACAATTAAATGCAATACATAATCCCAGCACTTGGGGAGGCTGAGGCGGGCGATCACCTGACGTCAGGAGTTTGAGACCAGCCTGGCCAACATGGTGAAACCCCACCTCTACAAAAAATACAAAAATTAGCTGTGGTGCAGGCCTGTAGTCCCAGCTACATGGGAGGCTGAGGTGGGAGGACTGCTTGAACCTGGGAGGTGGAGGTTGCAGTGAGCCGAGATTGCGCCACCACACTCCAGCCTGGGCGACAGAGTGAGACTTCGTCTCTAAAAAAAAAAAAGACGTACTAATACATGCTACATGCATGGATGGACCTTGAAAAAACATTACGCCAAGTCAAAGAAGCCAGTCACAAAAGGTCACATGTTATGCCATTCTGTTTACATGAAACATCTAAAATAGGCAGATCAACAGAAACAAAAAGTCAATGAGTGGTTTCCAGGGGCTGGAGGGAGGAAGGAGTGGGCAGTGATCGCTAATGGGAATGGGCTTTCTTTCTGGGATAATGAAAATGTTCTAAAATTAGATAGTGGTGATGATTACACAACTCTGTGAATAGACTACAAACTGCTCAAGTGTACTCACTGAGAGGTTGAATTTTATGAGTTATAGCTCAGCAAAGCTTTTATTTAAAAAAAAAAAAAAAAAAAAACTCTCTAGGCTGGGCATGGTGGCTCACACCTGTAATCCCAGCACTTTGGGAGGCTGAGGCAGGAGGATTGCTTGAGGCCAGGAATTCAAGACCAGCCTGGGCATCACAGCAAGACCCCTATCTACAAAATATTTAAAATTAGCCAGGTGTGGTGGTGTTTGCCTTTAGTCCCAGCTATTTGAGAGGCTAAGGTGGGAGGATTGCTTGGGCCTAAGAGCTGGAGGCTACAGTGAGCTATAATTGCATCATGGGACTCTAGCCAGGGCAACAGAGGAGGACCTTGTCACTCACATACACACACAGACACACAGACACACAGACACACACACACACACATACACACACACACACACACACACACACACACACAGATTGAGATATACAATAGAGTTGAGGGAAAAACATACCTTAAAGGACCTATTCACTTATGACGCAGAAAGCATGGCCTCTGTCCCTTCCTACAAGCCATTATTGATAAGGGAATGCTGGTCAGTTACAGAATTCAATACAGACAATGAAGGCAGATCACTGCTCAGGAAAATACAGCTATTCTGACTACCAAGATCAAGCAGGAGTTTCTTCTGGGGTCTTCACATACAGGACACAGTATTAGAAAATACATTATTATTACTATTATTATTTGAGACAGAGTCTTGCTCTGTTGCCCAGGCTGGAGTGCAGTAGCGCAATCTTGGCTCACTACTTCCACCTTCTGGGTTCAGCCTCCCAAGTAGCTGGGATTACAGGCATGCACCACCATGTCTGACTAATTTTTGTATTTTTAATAGAGACAGCATGTTACCATGTTGGACAGGCTGGTGTTGAACTCCTGGCCTCAAATGATCTGCCTGCCTCAGCCTCTAAAAGTGCTGGGATTACAGGCATCAGCCACCCACCTGGCCTAAATAATAAATCTTCAAGAGTAACCACAAAACAGACACAAGGCATTTAATTGGGACCTTCTAAATAGCAAAATTCAAAACTGATAATAAGTATCAAATCACAATTCAATGAAAGCCTCATCTGAGGTAGGGGAATACTAAACATTTCAGAATCTAGTTCACCAATCTGACTTGATCTAAGGGTAGATTTTGGACTAACTTAAAGAAAAGATGAACTCCACATCCCTTAAGTGATCTGCCTAAAACATGGCTTTTACCAAGTAAATGTTTTGTTGTTGTTACTGAGATGGAGTCTTGCTCTGCTGCCCAGTGGCTGGAGTGCGTGGCTCAATCTCAGCTCACAGCAACCTCTGCCTCTAGGGTTCAAGCGATTCTCCCACCTCAGCCTCCCTAGTAGCTGGGATTACAGGCACACACCACCATGCCTGGCTAATTTTTGCATAATAGAGACAGGGTTTCACCATGTTGGCCAAGATGGTCTCAATTTCTTGACCTTGTGATCCCCCCTACCTCAGCCTCCCAAAGTGCTGGGATTATAGGCGTGAGCCACCATGCCCGGCCACCAAGTGAATTTTTTATAGGGTGTCAGTAACTCAAGATGGTGTTTTCAAACTAATGGCTAGAGTAGGAAAGAAGATGACACGCTCAACTTATCTTAAGGAGTAGGTTATTTTCATAAACATTATGTGCTAGGCACTTGAATAATTGTTGGAGAGAAATAAATGAAGAAACTCTTACTGCCCTTACGATACAAGGGCACAGAGGTTGCCACACAGAAATACATGGTTGTATCTGGCTGGGTGCAGCGGCTCACACCTATACTTCCAGCGCTTTGGGAGGCCGAGGCAGGTGGACTGCTTGAGGCCAGGAATTCAAGACCAGCCTGGGCCACACGGTGAAACCCCATCTCTACTAAAAATTAGCCAGGCATGGCACCTTGTGCTCATGGTCCCAGCTACTTGGGAGGCTGAGGCATAAGGATCCCTCGAGCCTGAGGGGTGGAGGCTGCAGAGGGCCAAGATGGCACCACTGCACTCCAGCCTGGGCAACAGAGCAAGACTGTCTCTAAAAAAAAAAGAAAGAAATAAATACATGGTTATGTACACTCGTCATGCCTATCACACCTTAGGGAACAGGTAACCTTGAGGATGTGTGATTTTGCTTTCCTTAGGTAGGCAAGGAATATCGACTTATCTACATCTTTGACTTTTCTTAATGAATTACAGTAATATGCAGATGATAATGTCAACTTGGAGTTGACAAAATGCACATCCATTTGACATTTACATGATTACAGATACGTCACCAGCCTAAGAGAGCTCCAGCCTATTCTCCAGTGGGTTACTTCCATCCCAAATTGACAGACCTGCCTCAACCACCCATTCAGCACCCCTTTACTTCTAAAAGTACTGAACCCAAAGTTGCCAGCCCTTGTTCCTACTTGTTCTAAGAAGCCTTGAACAGCAATCGTCAGCACCTGGATTTTACAGAAGCTATAGAAACATCTCACCTCTAGAAACCCCCTCTGATTCGGGTCCATATGGTTCAGGGGGATGTAGGTGTCATCGGTCTCCTGGCAAACCACCATTGCATGCCTTTGACTGAAAGTTCCACGGCCAACATCTTGGCCACTTAGACGAACATTAAAACCTTAAGCAAGAAAGAAAAAAAAAGTCAGATTCCCATAAATAACGTAATAATAAGGCGTGGTGACTCTAATTTTTTGAGACGGAGTCTCGCTTTGTCACCAGGCTGAAGTGCAGTGTCACGATCTCGGGTCACTGCAAACTCCGCCCCTCAGGGTTCAAGTGATTCTCCTGCCTCAGCCACCTAAGTAGCTGGGATTACAGGCACGTGCCACCATGCCCAGCTAATTTTTGTAGTTTTAGTAGAGACAGGGTTTCACCATGTTGGCCAGCCTGGTCTCGAATTCCTGACCTTGTAATCCACCTGCCTCAGCCTCCCAAAGTGCTGAGATTACAGGTGTGAGCCACAGTGCCCAGCATAAATTCTTTTTTTTTTTTTTTTTGAGACAGAGTTTCGCTCTTGTTACCCATGCTGGAGTGCAGAGGCACGATCTCGGCTCACCGCAACCTCCACCTCCTGGGTTCAAGCAATTCTCCTGCCTCAGCCTCCCGAATAGCTGGGACTACAGGTGCGCGCCACCATGCCCAGCTAATTTTTGTATTTTTAGTAGAGATGGGGTTTCACCATCTTGACCAGGATGGACTCGATCTCTTGACCTCGTGATCCACCCACCTCGGCCTCCCAAAGTGCTGGGATTATAGGCGTGAGCCACCGCGCCCGGCCTGCATAAATTCTTATATACTGGCTTAACCCTGAGAATTTTCCTTAGGATAACAGATAGTAGTCATTAATATATACTGTCTGATATTCAAAAGTCGATAGTTAAGATGAGATTGTATAAGAAAGGAGAGGTACGAGGTGGCCTGCAATTTTAAGGGGAAACTATCTTTCCAGTACATCAGCACTAGTCCTTCGTTCCCCGGGCATAACTGTCCTATGTCTATACTATGATGAAGATTGTCAGCATTAATCATAGTACGATTAAGTAATATTGTCAGGAAAGAAAAGTTAACATGTTTTAGAACTTCTCTAGTCAATGAACACAATGGAAGGTAGTTATAGCTCAAACAAACTGCAAAGGTAATAGGTAGCAAACATGATTGAAAGCACTCTCTACTAGCTAGACAGAAAGTTCTTACCTTGAGCAAGTAAAGAACCCAAGGCAAGAGCTTCCGCTGTGGCCCAGTCTAGCTTGGTTCCATCCATCACCTTCTCCATTCTGGACTGTAAATTCAGAGGAAGGAAAAAAAGGAACATCTAAGAGTCCATCTCCTTTTTCACAATGAGTCCAAAAAATTTAATGCAGGCTGGGCACAGTGGCTCACACCTATAATCTCAGCACTTTGGAAGGCTGAGGCTGGTGGATCATTTGAGGTCAGGATTTTGAGACCAGCCTGGACCACATGGTGAAACTACTAAAAATACAAAAATTAGCTAGGCCTGGTGGCATGTCTCTATAAATCCAGCTACTTGGGAGGCTGAGGCAGGGAATCGTTTGAACCTGAGAGGCAGAGGCTGCAGTGAGCTGAGATCATGCCACTGCGCTCCAGCCTGGCAATAAAGTGAGACTCCATCTCAAAAAACAAAAAAACTAATACAACAAAATTAAGCATCAAAAATGTAATGCTGAATAAAAACAGAGTACGAAGGGATACATTAGAGAAGGAGAACAATTATATACAGTGGGTTTTATTTTATTCTTTTTCTGAAACAGAGAGTCACTCTGTTGCCCAGGCTGGAGTGCAGTGGCATGATCTCAGCTCATTGCAACCCCCGCCTCCCCGGTTCAAGCGATTCTCCTGCCTTAGCCTCCCAAGTAGCTGGGATTACAGGCCTGCACCACCACACCCAGCTACTGTTTGTAGTTTTTAGTGGAGAAGAGGCTTCGCCATATTGGCCAGGCTGGTCTTGAACCCCTGACCTCAAGTGATCCGCCTGCCTTGGCATCCCAGACTGCTGGGATTACAGGCATGAGCCACTGTGCCCAGCCTACATACAATTTTAAAGCAGACAAAACACACACGTGCTTAGGTTAGTGGTTACCTCTGCGGAGGTGGGAGGAGATAGATCAAGGAGGGGTATGTGGGGAATTGTATTTATAACATCCTTTTTCCTAAGCTGGGTGATGAGAACATATTGATAGTTTGTTGTAATAGTCTCTCTACCTATAGTAAAAACTTAAGAGTCAGCGGGTTTTTTTGTTTTGTTTTTTAATTTTTTTTTTTTTTTTTGAAACAGAAAACAGGGTCTCACTCTGTCACCCAGACTGGAGTTTAATAGTAAAATCTCAGCTCACTGCAAGCTCGACCTCCTGGGCTCACGCAATCCTCCCACCTCAGCCTCCTGAGTAGTTGGGACTACAGGCATGCACCACCACACCAGGCTAATTTTTCTTTTTTTGAGACGAGTCTCACTCTGTCACCCAGGCTGGAGTGCAGTGGTGTGATCTTGGCTCACTGCAACTTCTGCCTCCCAGGTTCAAGCGATTTTCTTTCTTTTTTTTATTTTTATTTTTTAAATAATTCAAAAATCTCTTCCTTCTTTTTTTTTTTTTTAATCCTTCTAAGAGCTTTCAGAACAAAGCGATTTTCCTGTCTTAGCCTCCTGAGTAGCTGTGACTGCAGGTGCCCACTGCCACGCCTAGCTAATTTTTTGTATTTCAGTAAAGACAGTGTTTCACTGTATTGCCAAGGCTGGTCTCAAACTCCTAAATTCAGGCAATCAGCCAGTCTTGGCCTCCCAAAGTGCTAGGATTACAGGTGTGAGCCACCACACCCGGCCAATTTTAACCTTTTCTAGCAATGAGGTATTACTATGTTGCCCAGGCTGGTCTTGAACTTCTGGGCTCAGGCAATCTTTCCACCTTGGCCTTCCAAAGCACAGGTATTACAGATAGTAGCCACCATGCCTGGCCAAGGTTAGCATTTTAAAATAATTCAGGCTGGGCACGGTGGCTCATATCTGTATCCTAGCACTTTGGAAGGCCAAGGCAGACGGATCAATTGAGGTCAGGAGTTCAAGACCAACCTGGCCAACATAACAAACCCGATCTCTACCTAAAATACAAAAATTAGCAGGGTGTGGTGGCACGCACCTATAATCCCAGCTACTCAGGAGGCTGAGGCAGGAGAGTCGCTTGAACCCAGGAGATAGAGGTTACAGTGAGCTAAGATCATGCCACTGCACTCCAGCCTGGGCAACAGAGAGCGATTCCATCTCAAAAATAACATAAAATAAAATAATTTACAGAACAAAGTTCCTTCATCCAAGCTTAAGAAAGATAAAGACCTTTAACTCTTTGCTCTCCATGTTTTAGCACTGAAGGTCCCACATACCAGAAAACCACTAAGTCCCAGGCCCCCCAGGACGGTTTGTCATCCTACAGTGATCACAAGACAATACATAAAACTTCAGCATGTTTAAGAAGCTACTTCAGGGGTATGTGTGTTAATTTTTGTTTATTTAAGCCACCTGAAACAAAGTGTTTTCTGCTCACTGGACAAATAAAAACATACATTCTTGCATCTCTGTTTCTTTTTTTTTTTTTTTTTTTTGAGACAGAGTTTCACTCATGTTACCCAGGCTGGAGTGCAATGGCACAATCTCGGCTCACGGCAACCTCTGCCTCCTGGGTTCAGGCAATTCTTCTGCCTCAGCCTCCTGAGTAGCTGGGATTACAGGCACGCGCCACCATGCCCAGCTAATTTTTTGTATTTTTAGTAGAGACGGGGTTTCACCACGTTGACCAGGATGGTCTCGATCTCCTGACCTCGTGATCCACCCGCCTCGGCCTCCCAAAGTGCTGGGATTACAGGCTTGAGCCACCGCGCCTGGCTGCATCTGTTTCTTTTTTTTTTGTTTTGAGATGGAGTTTTGCCCTGTGGCTAGGCGGGAGTGCAGTAGTGCAATCTCGGCTCACTGCAATCTCTACCTCCCTGGTTACAGCAATTCTCCTCCTTCAGCCTCCCAAGTAGCTAGGACCACAGGTATGCACCACCATGCCCAGCTAATTTTTGTATTTTAAGTAGAGACAGGGCTTCACTATGTTGGCCAGGATGGTCTTGAACTCCTGACCTTGTGATCTGCCCACCTCGGCTTCCCACAGTGCTGAGATTGCAGGTATGAGCCACCACACCAGCCAGTATCTCTGTATTTTTTATAGTGTGCATGTATTCCACGTATGTGTAATGTATGAACATGCATAAATAAATAAATACATGGAGGAAAAATAAAAGTAGAGAAAATCTGAGGTAATTGACTATCAGTAGCAAAACTTCACTCGGATTGGTTTCTAGAACCTAATGACACATAATAAACATCTGTTAAATGAATCACCCAACCAAAAACCCCAGACCAATGTCAGTTCCTTTGCTGAGCAGGAAGGAAAAGCAATAACCAGCCATTTGGAGGCTGCCGACCTGAACATGTGTCTTCAGGAGGTGACTGTGCATCTGCAGCTCTCTCGGCACCTCTACAGACTTCATGCCAACAAACCGCAGGAGGTCGAGGGGCACACCTGTGCTCCAGGTGGTGATGTGCGCTTCCGGCTGAGCCAGGCCCTGCCAGTGGGCCTGCAGGTTAAGGGCAGGGGGGCTGTAGTGGGCCATGTTAGTTAAGTGATCATTCAACTTTGCATAGTAGGAGGATTTTATTTCAGACACCTCCTCCTGCGTCATGAGTCCGCCAGCAATGAGGTGCTCTGCGTATGTGTCTGGGATGCTCTTTCGGGCTCTGTCCAAAAGAGGAAAAACAAAAATCAATCTGACCTGTAACAATCTAAGAAAGACAGAGATAGTCACTGTCCAATGCTGTGGAGTGCCAGCACTCTAAAAAGGCATTCAGGCCGGGTGCGGTGGCTTGCGCCTGTAATCCCAGCACTTTGGGAGGCCGAGGCAGGCGGATCACCTGAGGTTGGGCGTTTGAGACCAGTCTGACCAACATGGAGAAACTCCGTCTCAACTAAAAATACAAAATTAGCTGGGCGTTGTGGCGCATGCCAATAATCCCAGCTACTTGGGAGGCTGAGGCAGGAGAATCACTGGAACCCGGGACGTGAAGGTTATGAACCCAGGAGGTGAAGGTTGCGGTGAGCTGAGATCACACCATTGCACTCCAGCCTAGGCAACACGAGCGAAACTCCATCTCAAAAAAAAAATTTTTTTAAGGCATTCAGCGGGTGCAGTGGCTCATGCCTATAATCCCAGCATTTTGAGAGGCTAAGGCAGGTGGATCACCTGAGATCGGGAGTTCAGGACCAGGCTGACCAACATGGTAAAACCCCGTCTCTACTAAAAATTCAAAAAATTAACTGGGCATGGTGGCAGGCGCCTATAATCCCAGCTACTCAGGAGGCTGAGGTATGAGAATTGCTTGAACCCAGGAGGCAGAGGTGGCAGTGAGCCGAGATCGCACCACTGCACTCCAGTCTGGGCAACAAAAGCGAAACTCCATCTCAATAAATAAATTAATTAAATTAAATAATATATAAAAATAAAATAAAAAAGCATTCAGGAAAGACGTTTTGGAGCTAGACAGAGGTGGTGGCTGTACCTCCTAGTGAAGGTAAATAAATGCCACTGAATTGTTCATATTAAGAGAGCCAATTTTATATTATGTCACATTCATCTCAGTAAGTTTATAAAACAAAATAAATAAACAATGTTAAACATAATTAATTAATTTAATAAGTGAAGGCACTTACCATAACAACCTCTTTTCCAGGCAAGTAAGAGAAAACAAATTTATCTTTGTAAGTTTTTGTCTACATTCAAGTAGAAATAATTAACAGGCTTTTTCTATGATTTGGGAAATTCTAATTATATTGAAGACTGACCCACACTGTCTATCCAGTCCACAACCCCCTTTATCTACAAAGGCATGGAACCCAAAGTTGCCCAAGTCTCTGAAAGTTCCAATCTTTCAGGTCTCTTCTTTTTTTTTTTTTTTTTTTTTTTTTTTTG